TCCTTTTGTTTTTTCCTTTTTATTTACTTTTTTATTTTTTTTATTTTTATTTTTTTATTTTTATTTATTTATTTTAGTTTTGTGCATCAACGCAAACATCTTCGATTGCCCGCTGAGCTGCCTTTAAATAACGCAGAAACTCCAGCTCGTTGCTGCTTCTGCTGCTGCTGCTGCTGCTGCTGTTGCTGCTGCTGCTGCTGCTGCTGCTATTGTCGAAGCAGCTGCTGCTGCTGCGGTTGTTGCTGCTGCTGCTGTTGCTGTTACTGCTGCTCGTGTCGTTACTGATACAGCCGTTGTTGCTCCAGCTGCTGCTGTTGCTGCTGCTGCTGCTGCTGTTGCTGCTGCTGCTGTTGCTGCTGCTGCTGCTGCTGCTGCTGAAGGCATCGACGGCTTTGTCTAGAAGTCGAATTATTTTGTTTGCCCCTGAAAATGTTTTTTTAATAAGAAACAGAAAAATAAAAAAATAAATTAAATAAATAAAATAAACGAATAAATAAACAACCAAACAAATAAATAAATAAATATATTTATCTGAATTCATTAAAAAAAATAAACAACCAAATAAATAAACAAATATATTTATATATTTATTATTAAAAAAATAAAAATAAATAAAAAAATAAATAAATTTATTTAAATGAATTAAAATAAATTTAATTTACATTTTGTAATTTCTACAGCCTCAATAGAATCCGCGGGGGGCAGCAGGGTCCCCTCAGCTTCCCTGACAAAAATTTTTGTTTCTTTTATTATAAAAGGCGGCAGCAGCTTTGCTGCTGCTGCAACTCCATATGCTTTTTCTCCTGCTGCTCCTGCTGCTGCTGCTGCTGCTGCTGCTGCTGCTGGGGGTGTTGCTGCTGCTGCGGGGGTTGCTGCTGGTTCTGCTTCTTCTTGGGATGATGATAATGATTGTGGTGATAGTGCTGTTGCTGCTGCTGCTGCTGCTGTTCCTGCTGCTGCTGCTGCTGCAGCAAAGACAGAAGGGAGGTGTACATACAGCTCAGAGACAGAAAAGAAATAAAAATTAAAAAAAAAATATATAAAAAAGAAAACACAGAAAAGAAAAATTATATTAAGTTAAACAGAAATATATAAACAAAATAAAATAAAGAAGACGAGAGAAAGAAAACAAGAAAACAAATTAAAAAAAAGAAAACAACAAAAACCGAATAAAAAAAAAAAAAAAGAAAAC